GGGGTGGGTTGGGGCCGAGCTGCTACTGTGCAGCCACATCGGGGCGGGCTGGGCCCAGGCTGCTGCCGAGCGCTGCGGCCTGGCCCGGCCGGGCCCAGGCACCTCCCCGTGGCCGCATTGGCCTCCTGTGGCACCTGTCCCACATGCCAGGTCAGATCTGGCCCATGGAGGGTCCTGGCACTTCCCAGCTGGCCCATGGAGCAAAAGGTTTGCGTGCGGCTGGTCCTGGGCAGCGGTTCTCAGTTTGTTGGAGTCGGGGTAGCCCTTGGAAACCGTCAGCTTTTGGCCTTTGCTTGTTCTTTGGCCATGCAAAAATACTAGAGCAATTCTGTTGCAAAGAAGTAAGACCACAACAGGGCTGAGCGTTTTGGATATTGTGGATTCCTCTCTGAGGTCTCCGAGTTTATGTTGTGAGCCATGTGCGAGGTGTAAGAAAACCTACAGCACTAATGTTGTGCGGCATCCTTAAAAGAATCGACTGGCACCGCAGGCCTGGCTGAACTCTCTGGTCTTGCCAGCGCTTTCAGTTGAAGATGCTGCCTTCAGTTGAATGCTCAAGTAGGAACGTCTTCCTGACAACCACCCTTATGCCGTTGTCCAGAATATTTTAAAACCTGATGGCTTCTTCACTATAGTTCATTTTGATCACTGATGAGTTTATACATGCTATGATTTTGAGCATATTTGGGATGTCATTCCTTTATTTGATTGCAATTGACACTAAATTGAAAGGCTTAATTGTTTTGCTTGCTGTTTATAAAGTGCTTTTCTCAGCAAGTACTACAGGCAGTCCTCAGACTTAAGACACAATTGGTTCCTGAAAACTGCATCTTAAGTCAAACTGTTGTAACCCAGAAGCGATTTTTCCCATAGGAAACAGTGTTATAAATGGGGGATTGGTTCCTGAACCAAGGCCCAATACTTTATTTTTCACCAAAAATAACCCAGAATTTTTTACTCAAATCAATGTTGTAAGTTGACGACTGCCTGTACTTTAAACAACTATTCAGTTTTTTTGGAAATATGTTGAAGAGATCGTAGAAAGGTGGCAGCTTTGTGTTATTTGTAGGTACATTTTACATTTTTAAAATCCTTTTCAACTCTAATTTAAAAATGTATTGACAGGTACTGAAAGTCAACAGTTACACTGCAGCCTTGCCGATTGTGCTACTACCTGCATAGCAGATTAAATAGGAACAAAGTTTTCCAAATGTCAACCACTGCAGGTTTCAGTAGAGAACATACCGTTACTGCACACTGGATGTCCAAAACTTCTCGTGCAGGAGTTATACTACGTCCTAGTTTCCATGACTTGAAAACTAATAGAGCCAGTCAGTCATCTGGAACTGCAGACATCACAAGCTACCCATTTGAAATGCTGCATTTTTCAAACAGCAGTTGTTCTGTAAGTGAAGACTCCCTACATGAAGAAAAAACCTTGGAATCTGACACCTTTCATGGTCTTCTCCCAGGTACAACAGAAACAACTCTTCCTGCTCATTTGGGAGAAGAAAAACAAATATTAGCATTCAAAGATGCTACAGGGCAGCAAGAAACTGAGTTTATATATGACAAGGCAGATGATTGGAGTGAAGCAGATTACAGTGACCCACTTTTACAAAAGCTTGAGCAGGTAAAAAGGAAAGAAAACATCATCTTGACATGTATTCATTAGAATTTTTTTGTCTCTGATTAATCTTCTGTCAGTTTCTAGATGACTGTAGCTGCCCAGGACAAAAAGATTTTGCTTGATTTCAGAACAATGCTAATTTGAAGAACAATTTCCAAGCTATGTTAATACTTTTTCCCTCATGCTACTCTGTATTGGGAGCCTAATCCTACTTCCAATGCTTTCAACAGGAGTGGGATCAAATTCTGAAACACTTAGTTCTTAGTTCTGGAGCATCACAGTGTGCCTCTATATGAAATCAAAAAGTTCCACTTAAACATTATTGTAGTCTCATGTTAATGTCATTTTCAAGACCCAGGACCCTTAGAATTGAAATGTATAGCTGAGTATATAACCAGTTTCTGATAATATTAAAAACTTAAAATACTATATACAGCTGTACACACAGTTTATTAGAGAGGAGGAAAACGTTGTGAATGGAAGCTTAATATTAATGTGCTGTAAAATGCTGAGTCTGCAGTAGCTGTGAAGGGATTAGTGCTGTCAGTTTATGTGAAATATTTGCTACTTTCTCTAATTCTTCATGAACTATAACTTCAGAATAAAGGAATGTATAGCTTTTAGCAATTACTTGACTTGCTATTTGATTGTAGTTCTAGTTTATATTAGTTAGATATAGTCTACCTAAGGAGTCATTTAGAAATTTAAAGAAAGCAAAGCCTTATTTATGTTGGAACTCCAGAGTCAAGTGTCACTGATAAGCTTACACAACTTTTTTTTTTCTCCCAGAAGGTATATTTTGCATATTAAAAAAGTATATTTTCCCAGTAGCATCAACAACGTGAAGCAGTTATTTTTCTGATATTGATATTTAATGAGGAGTTCTAAGAGCTTTAAAAATACCTGGTATCTTTTAGAAAATATTGACATCCTATCTTGGAGCAGTTCCATTTTTTTGTATGTATTTGTTTGCTGCTCAAACGCATGCTGTAACTTACTTTGCAAGTTACCCCTTTGCAGTTAGTAGCATTTAGTACTGGTATTTAGTGTAAGGGTGAATTACACTATGACCAAGGCCAATTGCTTAGTTTTTCTGTACTAGCTGTCATGCCTTCTAGGGGCTTTTGGTTTTTTGATGCTACTTCTACTTATTTCCTTCTTGATTGTTAACAGCAGTTTCCACTGAAGCTGAGGTGTCACGAACGTAGTGTGAGCTCAACTGAGAAATGAACAAGACAAAGAACTTCTAAGTAATGAGGATCCCATTTTAATTTGGCATTTCAAGTTGTAATAAAAGTATGGGAGAATAAGAGTAAGCAATTGTATAACTTGATTTTTTTTAAAGTTTTTTTTCACAATTAGTCTTCAGCATTTTTTTTTTTTATTTACAAATTGTCAATTAAAGGCTAGTAGAACTAGTACAGGATTGGTCCCTTGGTAGAAAAAGCTACATTATAGTGTGTGTGTGAGTGGAATGCATAGAATAAAAATGGATAGGGCACCTGGAAATTTTTTAGATTGTGTTTAAATTGCACTTGTTCTAATATAGTTGTGTTTTCTGACAGTGCTGCTTTCTTGTCAGTTACTCCAGTGTATGTTTAAATAAACTTGCCTTCAAACACATTTACTTTTGTTCTTGAAAAGCTAAAGGAATTTCAACAGCAGAAACAAGAACAGTTGAAGAGGCAACAGATGGAACAACTTCAAAGGCTTATGGAAGAGCAACAGAAACTACTTACTGTGGTATCTGGCCAACAAGCAACTCCTTGTGAGTACAGAAATGAGCCATAAAACATGCCTTAAAATAAACTATAATTTACAATTTTTAATATTGGATTTAATTTTAAATCATTGTTTAACTTTCACATTATGCTAGCATCCAAACATTAACACAGTCAGGGTTAATTCTTTTTTGTGTTTGGTGCATTTCAGACACACAGTATGATGGAACCTTGTCTTGAATATTTTTCTGTCTAATAGAAGAAACAGCTGTATTAAGCAAAATATGAAGTAGTATGAAACAAACTTTTTCCTTTCCACCTCCTTCTCTTCTCTGAACAGCTCTCTCTGAAAACTTGGTGTCTCTTCATTGACACAAACTGTCTTCCCTGCCCATTCCCTCTCTTCCCATTTGCCCATCCCACAAGAATAGCTCCAGACTCAACCCTGATGCAAATAAAAAAGCCTGTCACACAGACTAGTCAAATATGTTTTAAGGGCATGTTGTTGATTGGGCCTCTAGAGATAGGACCCACATGGGCAATCCCTAAGTCCAATAATAATACAACGGAAATAAACTCTCATTAGGATTTCTTTCTTTTTTTTTCTTTGAAGGTTTCACTTTACTAGCAGAAGATCAGAGCCAAAGATATGAACATACAGTTAGTTCAACCTCTGCAACCCACTTGCCATCAGTTATGTATCAGAATCATAGTGGACACATTGCTCGTCACCTGGATGATTTTTCTAGTGAACATCTACAAAAGTTAAACAATGAGTGCATCTTATCTTTGAAGAGCCATTTCTCTGCAAACTCTGTCTCTGAGAAACAACACATACAGGCATCTTTGAAACCACGAAGCAATCTGAAGAACAGTGAGGAAGACAAAAAAAACACTGGTTAGTCAAATCTTTGAAAGACACATCTTTTGAGAGATTCTGTAGGTTTTACATAGTTATTGATTTATTTTTGTTTTGTATGTACAGCAGTGATTCTTAACCAGGGTGTTGCAACACACTGGAGTGCCATATTGGTTTTCTGCAAGAAGGAGTTAAGCTCTCACTAAGTTGGAAAAGTTCTAGCAGGCAAGATCCTTTTTAGGGTGCCACACAATATTAATAATGTTAGGCATGCAAACACCCATGTATAATTTATAAGATAAACCCAGAGATTTCAAAGAGGAACCCATAGTGACAAAAATATTCTGACCTGTTGTGGTCTTCCTGATTTTTTTTTTTTTTTTTTTTTGCATCTGAAGAATTGCTCTCTTAATTTTTCTGTAGTCAAGAAACAAGTGAAAGACACTGGCTGGCATGGTCTCAGGGGTATTTTGAGTCTAACAAGGAGTGTCTTGAATCCAGAAATGTTGAGATCTATTGATTTACAGGAAATTTGTCTGTTAAGTGTTGATTATGCTTTAGCTGCCTTTAACTATGCACCATGTTTGCTGCTCATGGCCTGGTATTACTTCTGTTGAAATTGCTAGTTATTTTCTAAAATTGATGAGAGCAAAATCAAGCACTTTAATTATGTTAAAAGCTCTTTATGATGTTTATAATTTTTAGCAATAAACTACAGGAAAACATAACATCACTGCTAATATAGTTGGTAGATGACAGACTGGGGGAATGGTATATAATAAAGATGACATCACTGATACAGAGTGACCTGGATAACTTGGCATGTGAAAACAGTATGCTTATTAAACAGTCAGATGTAAAGTCATGCAGAAGTCTAGGAACAAGGAGAGTAGGTCATAGTCGCAGTTATTCTGAAAAAAAAGTTAAAGGTTCTGATATGCAAAATATGACGGTGGTTAATTTCATCTGAGTGTTGTTTATGTTTTTGAAGTGTAAGCCGATCAGTGCTTTCAGGTTAGAAAGTGACATTTTCTTATCATTTCTAGGAAAAAGCATTTGGTGTCTAGATAAAAAGATGGGAGAATCAGCAGAAGGTAAAAACTGTAATGCTGATGGGTTACATTCAGAAAATGCAGATTTCTCTGAAGGTCCCAATGGAAGAAAATGCTTGCAAATGGCTAACACAGAAGAAAGGTATATATAATTGTTTGCATAATGACATGGTTGTAAAGTAATTCTCTTGAACAAATTCTGAGATCTGATTGAAAGGAACTTAACAAGCTTATTTAATACTCTCAATTCTGTGCCTCCAAAGAGCTCTAACCAAATGGTGTCCCATTGTGTTAGCCATTGTAGAAGCGTAGAGTAAGACAGCACCATGCTCAAAATGGTTATGTTATGAACGATATATAATAGCTGGATGAAACAAATGATTGAGTTCAGGGATGAAGTAAAGGTAGAGCAACAGCTTGTTTTATCAATAGTTTACTAGGTGCACAGTTTTAGTTGTAATAAGCAGCTAGTCCAGGAGCAGTAATCGCAACTATTCACAAGAGGTGCATCGATACATTGGTTTCAATATCAGATTGGTACCAATATAAAGAAAATTGTCTATATTGGATATCGGCCCGATGAGGTTGATAATGTGGCCTATAAATGCCTGTGCTGTGCGCAGCGTGGAGAGCTGCCTCCAGCTGGTAAGTTGGAAGGAGAGGTGGGAGAGAAGGGGTGTGGGGGGTGCAGATCAACACCTCCCCGTGGCGAGGGAGGGGGCAGGGGTAGGTGCAGCTCAGCTGTGGCGGTGGGGGGGCAGGGGGGTGGCACATGGGACAGAAGCATGGCTCAGGGGGTGGGGGCAGCTCCCGCCACTGCTTGCACCCCCAGAGGGTGGGGGGCATGTGCCCCCAGATTTGTGCGGTGCGGGGCGGGCTGCTTTTCCTGGTAGTGGGTGGAGGCGGGGTGTTCAGTTGGGGCTGCGATGGTGTGGGGCTGGGAGTGGAGCTGTGGTGAAATTTGGGGTGGCTTTCTGTATCGGCCCCCAACATCCCTGTTGGTGCATCCCTACACTTCACCTGCCTGATTGTTATGGAATGACAGTGTTCTGCAGGCTTTATGCAGACGTGAGATTTAAGGAATGATAGGGAGGAAGATGAGATGCTGTCTGTTTCAAAAAAAATTTTTTTGGTTGACAAGAAAGAAAGGATCAAGGTGCTTGTGGGAGACGCTAAGCAAGGAAGGGTAAAGACAAGCATCACCTTATAAGGTAGAAGGTGAAAATAATTTATGAATAGACTTGAAAATAAGGACAAGAAATTTTTATGATAGTAGGAATGACAGAGAGAGGTGAAAAAAATGACTTTAGTACAGCATTTTCAATTGACTTGAGAGCGTAATGTTGAGCAACTAAGAAATAATTTGATCTTCATGAAAGTTTATGGGCCTAGTCAAAGTGAGAGGGTCTCATCTTTGAACAACGTAGCCATAAGATTTAGACATGCCCTGGATAGTTAAGTAATACATTTTGAGAACAGTCAGTGAAATATTGATGTTAAACGATTTACTTTTGTCGCTAGATATCTGACTGATTAAAGGATGTTATAATTTCTTACCTACTGATATAACAGGATTTTAGATATCATGCGATTTTTTTTTTTTTTTTTTTTTTTAAACCCTTTAATTGTATTGCCTCTCAAAGATTTAACTTTTAACATTGCATTTTGAATCTTTATATTATACTAGGCCTATTAAGGCTGGGATTCAAGATAGGAAACAGACATTTGAAGAATTCCTGGAAGAACAGATACAACTGGAAGAACAACGCCTGAAGAAAAAGGAACAGCTACAGGTTAATTAAGTGCAATTGTGGCTTTATATGTTTCTTCAAAATTTACTAGAAGTTTACAAACAATGAAAAGCTTAGTATTCTATTGTTTGTATTCATGCAGTTTTTAAGCTCTTAACATTCTGACTTATCTTAAATGTTTCATGTATTTCTTTATATTAGCATGTGTTGCTTTGATGTCTTTAAGTAAGTAAATTGAATTTTAACAATTTTTTTTTATATTTAGGAAGCAGAGAAATTGACTTCTCAGAAACAAGTAACAAAATGGCCCTTCCTAAAAAGAGGAGAAGGCTTATCTAGGTTCACTAAAATCAGATCTAAAGTAACTAAGTATAAAGAAGGGAAAGTAATGTTTCAACTAAGTACTTCAGAGGACAGAAATATTGCTAAAGCAGAGAGACCCCATATACAGAGGAAAACGGTGACTTTGAGCAAAGAACTGGTTTCTGAGAACTCTGTTATTCCATCCAAAAGGTATAATCAAACTATTAAGACAAAGAATGGTCCTGCTGGGCAAGAAAGGCAGACCATGGTACTCAAGAATCATAATGGGAAGACTATTTTGCCATCAAAAGTAGCAGTCCGGACTGAGAAGAATCTAGATGAGCAGTTTAAAGAATCTTGCAGATCAGAAATCAACAATAAATTAGAAAATAAAGAAAACATAATGGAGTTTGCAAAATCTATTGAAATTGGCAGCAAGTACAGAAGCAATTTACCACATACAGAAAAGTATCAGGTGCCTACAGAGTTGACTAAAACAGCCTTCCTTTCCCAATGTTCTATGGGTCGCCCTGCAAAAGACCTAGAACTTTGTTTAGAGCTTTCATTCCAGAATAAGTTGGAAAACTGGGAAAAAGAAAAGGAGAAAGAGAACATGGAATTGGATGAATTTTTGTTTCTAGAACAGGCTGCTGATGAAATATCTTTCTCAAGTAATTCTTCATTTGTACAGAGGATCTTGGAACAAGATCAACAACTTTCAAAAGGCCGTAGAATGTCTTCTACTCCTATCAAAACAACACAGCAGCAGATGAATACATTGGTTATTACAGCTATAAATAACAAAAATAAAGTGGACAATATCTCACAGGGAAATAAAAATGACAGAGCAGTTGCATACACAGTTTCAGATTTGGGGACATCTATTGGATTGAAGGATCATTCTAAGAAAACAGATAATAAAATATTTCAGATTTCTTCCACTGTAGCAATTCCAAATTTACAAAGCACTGAATGGAATATAAATGAAACTAAGGGTGACGAAAGCAATGATTTTATGACAGAGTCTGAAGAAGAACTTGAGACCACCTTGACAGGTTCAAATGAAAATGATAAAAAGTTCCTTTTGGGTAGTAGAGAAGACAATCCAGAATTCTGTGATAGAGGACCTGTCAAAGATACCAGCAAAGAAAGCAAAAGTGGAGATGCTGATCTTGATTTATCAGACAAAGACTATAGCAGTGATGAATCCATTGGGGTAGCAAACCAAAGTAGTAGTAAAGTTTCTGGCTCTCAAAGAAGCTCGTCTTCTATATATAGAAATAATATTGAGTTTGATGATGATAGAACATGGAGTGATCTGGAGGAAAATGTGATTCAGCTTGAAGTTCCTAAAAATGGTAGCATTAAAATACCTCTCCAAAGTAATTCTTCTAATATGAGTGAAGTGTGTATCCCAGACAAAGCATTAAAAAGAAAGGTTGCTTCAATAAAGAGAGGAGATGATCTCCCCAAAGAGAGGGTGACAGACAATACAAATATCCCTCCCACATCAGATCTGATGATGAAACTTTTTCCTTCACTGAAACCTAAGCAGAAGGCTGAGTCTTATTCAAAACAAGAAGACAAATCAAATGCAGAGCAGGAGGAATCAGGAGGTGAGAGAGAATGACAGGCTGAGCACTAGATGTTAGAATATTGCAGTCATAAAATATGCAAGGAAACAAATGGGAAAACCCCATTGGCATTGATTTACAGTTTTTGATTATCATCGCCCTTGTGAGAATGAACTTGGTTTGTGCTGTTGTGACCTGCTGCTGATATTGTAGCATTTCAGCATAGAGTAATAGGGGGAAAACTGTAAGTGGTCAGACTGGGGCTTTGTAGAATTATTCTAGTGCCTGGAGTTAGGTGTTCTTCTAACAGAACAAAAAGACAGTCCTTTGCCCCCCAGAGAGCCTGTGGTCTAAGCAGAAGAGACTACAGATGGGTATAGGCAGAGAAGCATGAGGAACAGTAGAAAAAAGGCACTACACACATTTTTATGCCTTGTTTATATACTTCAAGCACATTGTTTGTAGGTGTTATTAACCAGAGTTACTGAAAGGAGTTCATGCCTGATATCCATATTTAGGAACCAATTCTCAACTCATACAAAGCTTGTTTTTCCCCCCCCCCACTGTCTAAAATTCTCATCTTGTGCTAGTTGCCCACAACTATAATCTTTCTCCTTAGAACATAATGCTAGAGTCTTAAAAAGAAGTACAGTAGGCGCTTTACAGCCTTGCAGAATTCTCAGTGCCACATAAAGTGCTAAGGCTTCCCTGGTACAGTGCAGAGGGAGAGTTGGACATCTAAAACAAAGATATGCAAAACTGTACTGGAGCTCCTTTATGCATGCAGTGGGAAATGATGAGGGGAGGGGTGAGTCTTGAACCCCGAGCAGGACTTCTTCCTTGGCAGTGGTCATGAGTTTAGCAAGGAGGGAAAATAATAATGGGTGTAGATATCTAATTTGGGGTTGTAGGAAGTAGTATCTTTCTGCTCTATAACCCAGAATCTTTTCCTGGACTTGAGTGTCTAAGCCAGCTATTCTTACTGATTAACTATTTAAATATGTTATATCAAGTAATCATACTGTTACTACCAAAAATTAAAAATATTACAAAAGAAATGTAACCTGTATGTTATAACCACAGCATGGAGGTATGGCATACCATTACTTCTCTGCTTGTTGCCTTGTCCGAGATCTTAGCTTGCAACTTTTGTTGCTGTTGTGAAAGCATCTAGTGTTCTGACTCTGGTAATTCAACCAATGTAGGGAGATGCTGAGTGGTAATGTAAATGTTAACTAACTGTTTCATTTGCAGAGTTGAACAGTTTACTTTGAGTAACATCAAACTTTGCCACAGGTAAGTGACACTTGGGAGATTCTGCCATTTGTTTTGTTTTTCCTTCCAGTCAAAGAGCCAAACCCAAGAAACCAAACAGAGCCTCTGGGCATTTGTGAGCCTGAGCTCAAGGAACCCAGGGAATATGCACAATTTACTTTCACTTCAGTGACTCAAACAGATAAGGTTTGGATAGGTAGGGGTAAGGGATAGGTGCCCCCAGTTTGATCTCTGACTATGAACAGTGCTATAGTTGCTCCCATCACTATTTCAATCCAAGAGTATATCTGCTTGAAAAAAGAAAACATTTTCATATTTGGATTAATATTCCTTGCATACTTTCTTCTGCTAGAATAACAAATATATTGAATATCTGAAATGCTTGAATGAGACGCACAGATTATTTTGACATTCAGTGACTTGTGTTTCATCTGCTGTAATATATGGAGACTTTAAAGTAAAAACAGCTGATGAAACATTACTAATATGACAATTTGGTATATGCCTTAATACTTTAAATGAATGTTTCTTTAATAGCTGTCTGCCTGTTTCGTTATAGGAGACACTGTTCGATCTCAGGTTTTGAGAGAGAAGCTTGTTGAGTTGGAGACAGAAATTGAAAGATTCAGAGCTGAAAATGCATCTCTAACAAAACTCCGGCAAGAGCGAGAATGTGCCTTAGAAAACCTTAGGTAATTTTTCAGTACAGATATCTTGGTGTGTTTCATTTCTGTCATAAAAACATTCCCCTAATTGTTTAAAATCAGTGTGTGTTACAGGTAAATAATTGAGTCAATTCTCAGTCAAAAACACAAGAATTTGGTAGAAATTCTAACACGACTTCCTAGGTCTTGGAATGCCAGAAAAGGGGCAGAGGGACAGATCAGTTTGGATGGGCTTAGCATATATACTCTTTCATTTAGCATCTGCTTTATGCCACTGAGCTATGGGATACTGGGCTACATGGACCTGTAGTCTGAACCAGTGTAGCATTTCTTATATAGAAGTCAGCACCCTTGTGCATCTAATTATGGTTTGTTGAAAATTAACTGGCAGGGACTGGGGTTTGGGGGGAATGTTCTCATGAGGTGTGGCAGGGACTCGATCATAAAAAATAAAATTAGTAAAGCACTGGAACAGGTTACCCAGAGAGTAACCTGTGGAATCTCCATCCTTAGAGGTTTTTAAGACCTAACTAGCCAAAAGCCTTGTCCGGGATCATCTAATTGGGGATGGGCCTGCTTTGAGCAGGGGGTTGGACTAGATGATCAAGGTCCCTTCCAACCCTACTTTTCTATGATTCTGTCTTTCAGAATATAGCATAGTGGAAATGTAGGCCAAGAAATTGGTGGTGGCTTATTTTGTACAACGAAGAAAGTAAAACTTGACTATTCAGATTTCAGTTGCTACCTTAGTAAATTATTGATGTGTTTGAGGCGACAGTCTTAAACAGTGGTGCCCAACCTTTTTGGCAGGTCAGTGCCCGAGCTGGCATGGCGGGCACCTTCTGGCTATGCGAAGGTGGGGGCAGGGGGGGCTGGCCAGCCCCAATGTAGGCCTGCTGGGGAAAGAAACTTAACCCAGCCTCGTGGAGAGGGAAGGGGGTGTGGCTTGGCTCTGCAGGAGTGGGGGTGTGTGGCCCAGCCCTGAGTGGGGAAGGTGGCCTAGCCAAGCCCAGCCTGGCCCTGCAGAGAGGGAAAGGGGTTTTTCTGGCCCTCCCGGGGGGGCGAAGGGGGGCAGTAAGGGGGCTTGGCTAGGCTCCCTGTGGGGAAAGGGGCATGGCCAAGTGGGGAGAGAAGAGGTTGCAGCCTGGCCTGGCCCTAGCTGGCTGTGTGGGGCTTGGGTTTGGGAATCTGGCAGTGGAGGGAGTGGCTGTATTAATGACTACCTCCCCCCGCCACAATTTCCTGGCACTGGCTGTTTGATTGCATATTAATTCCTGGAAAAATCTTTCTGGATACTCACAGACTTGTACTGCTGTAGAGCTGGGGACTGGAGGAATGCAAGGACAATACATTATGTTGAACTACTGTAGAAATATAAATCTAGATATTAACTGAAGAGGTCTAGTCCAACCTCTAGTACTGAGGCAGAATCAAGAGGCTTTGCATGTTTCCAGGGTCCTGTGTACTGTCCCTGCCATCTGGGACCACCACAGGTGGCTTACCCCTGGGGCAGTGCAGGAAGGACGGCTGGGTGTGCTGGCGGCCGGAGAAGGTGGTAGGGACAGTGCACGGGGTGCTGGAAGCCTGAGCTTGGCAGACTTCATGCACCATCCCCACTGCCTTCTCCAGCCACCAGCACACCAGCAACCCCAGGGTCAAGTCAGCTTGTTCCCGGGCAGTCCCAGGCGGTGGGAAGACAGCAGGGACAGTGCATGGGGCATGGGAAGCCCCAGTGTGCGTCTGGGGTGGGGGGAGCATTGCGGGGCCTGCTTTTTTTTTTCCCCTCCCCTGCAGAGGCTGCCCGCGGCCAGGAGGTGAACTGCCTGCAGCATCTGAGCTGCAAGGGTATTTCCCTCTGTGGTGGTGGTGTCCCCTGGGACCACCCAGGCACCATGCTAGCAGGCCGGGTGGCGGCTCAGAGCAGCACAGGGCCCACTGGCAGCTCGCCCCCAGCCACAGGCAGGCTTTGCCAGAGGAAAAAAAAAGATTGGGCCCCTCACTGTAACAGTGATGGAGCCCCTAAATTGAAATGGTGGGTTTTTAATTGTCACAATTAAAAACCCACCGTTTCAATTTAGGGAGAACTAAACCCCCGTTATGTGTACAAGTGGCCCTATTTTTTTCTCAGGTAAAACATTTGTGACATACTGAGGAAATTCTTGTGAGTGGGAGCATCAATAATAGCAGTCAGAAAATTCGTTCTCATTGAATGTGTAATATGTGTATTACACAAGTATTTACAGAGATAAATTTTCCTAGGGGGTAGCAGACATGGTTTTGAATGAATGTGAATACCAGTTTTTAAAATCTGGGAGTTTTTATTAGAAAATAAAAACTTGCTGGTGGCTTGTTCCAGAACAAATGGCTGCATTGTGTCATTTCAGGAAAGAAATTGCAGACTTTGAGCAGCAGAAAACAAAAGAATTGGCCCGGTTAGAAGAATTTAAGAAAGAGGAAATGAGAAAACTGCAGAAAGAACGTAAAGTTTTTGAAAAATATGCTACAGCAGCTAGAGCCATCCCAGATAAAAAAGAACGTGATGAAATTCAGGTATGAAAATATAATGATTAGTTTTCAATGTGAAAAATCACAAATAGTATAACTGAAGAAGCTTCTGTCCATTAGTAATTCCCATATGAGGCATTTTAGACTTTTCAAGTGTTTTGTATTGTTCAGAAATCAAAAAGACTTGAAGAATAGCCTTTTTCTGTTAGGTTGTTCCACACCCTTTTTACATGGAAGCAATAAAGAAGAATATGACTTGGTTTTGACAGAACATTACTATAATTATTGTAGATTTGTAAACATGCATTTACTGTAGTGAACTGAATGCCAAATGAAACCTAATTTAAGTGTTATTTTGTTGGTGACTGTGCTTAATATGGAACAACTGTTTCTTAACAGATGTTAGTTGTCATGAATCTTATGCACAGACCTGCCTCCTTATTTCTGTTAAGTTCACTTTTATCACTTTGAACTAAATAAAAAACATTGTCAAAGATGCACAGCCTAAATAGATCAGATCAATCTAAATAGATCAGAATAAAAAAGCTAGTATATATTTACTTAAAGAAATTTAAATATATGACCTTTGGTGAGTTTGTTTGGGAGGGGAAAGTAAACAGATGCTTTTTATTTCACTTTTATACTTTAACTTTCAGGCAGTTAAAAAAATTATTTCACTCATTATTGGCCTGTAACTATGAATAACTGTGTGATGGGTAGGGAAGTAGGATGGACTTTTTCTGGCAGTGTATATATAGCACTAGACCTATGACAGATTTTATTTTTTTGAAGTAGCTCCAAATATCATGTAGTCTGAATGGCATTTGTCAAACCATCTGGCCAGCTGGGCCTGTATGTGCTAGCTTTATTTTATATCCCTGTTTAAAAAAAATGTCCAAGAATACAATCTTTAACATGATGAAGAAAATCCCTTTTCCCTCATCTCTTTCTCTGCAACTTGTCTGTGCTTCATGTCCTGAAGTATAGACCTTGCAGTTAAGCCAGAAGCTATCTAAAGTCGCCTATCTTATCTTGGGCTGCTTGGAAGTGGGAGAGCCCTGAAGAAACTGGTGTAAGTTTTGCCAGGCTACATAGAACATTTGCAACTGTGTGCTGCATCCCCACCCTCCTTATGTCCTTTATGTCAGAACCTGTTCGGGGGTTGTCTTAAGCTACTGTCATGTGTCTTACTCAGTGTCTGCCAGTATAACTTTCTTGCTCTGACCTTTCTGCTAGCATAAGGGGAGCTGGTTGAAGAGTCGAGGTCTTTTCGTGATTGGGGAAGTGATAAATCAATTCTAATTATGAGGTGAATAACTCCTGCCTTTGGAGGAAAGCCCCACATAATTTCTAGCCTTCAGCCATTCACACAAGGCAGGATTCCCTTTCCTTGAGCCACTGTCTCCTGTGACTGTATCACTGATAAAAGATTTCTATTTTCTCTAGTTATGCATTTTAATATAGAAAAAATGCCTGGCCCGTATCCTCCTGAACTACAGCTAATGCTTATTTATTATTAAGGCTTTAAAACAGCAGATTGCAGACTTGCAGGAAGACTTAAAACGGAGGGAGGCAAAATGGTCAAGCACTCAGGGTCGTCTTAGAAACCAGATTGAAGCTTTAACAAAGGAGAACGCGGAACTAAGAGAAGAGATCAGAATTATGGAAAGGTTTCGTCTAGAAGCCTGGAAGAAAGAGTCAGCTACTGAAAGCAAAAGGAAAGCTGAAAGTTGTGGGATAAAATTGAAAAGAGAAGAGTCTATGGTAAATTAAACTTATTTTGAGGTACTGTATTTACCCGAATCCAAGACGACGCCTTCCCCCTTAAACTTTAAACAAAGTAAGGTATTTTAAATACATTTGTGCAAGTGTATTGAATTTTGGCTCTTTTTTTATACAGTTTGTCCCTTCTGTTCCAAGCTGAAGCTTTCATTTAATTTGAGCTTGTACTCATCTTGCAACTTTGCTGCTTTTTTTTTTTTTTTATCTCCATCAGTCTGAATCTTTGCTTTGAGCAGCTACTGGGATGATCACTTGTAACTGATATAAATGCTTTGCCCCTCCCAATATGAGCTGGTGAAATCAATCAGTTTGCCACTTCTCTTTTGGTTTAGGCTGTTAACAGTAGTTTAGATCTTAAGGATTGACTCTATGCTGTTTGCTGCACCGAGATGGAATTCTGGAATTGTGGATGATGAGGAATCAGGTAGAGGAAGAGCTCCAAAATCTAGTATTACCCCATTCTTCCCTCCAACATTCATTTCAAAATGTATAATTAACAACAGTGTCTATAGTACAGTATTATAGTAAATGATCTGGGGTCCTGTTACTTTATTTGTATTATGTTGTTGAATAAACCTTTTCTGGAATAGTAACTACACTTTCTCTAATATGCTTTCAGTGTCCGCCAGTAGGACTCCAGAAATGTCAGATTCTGTCTCCAGTTCCTCCAACAGAAAAGTGCAGCAAGATGAGCAGAAAAAGTTATTCCCCAGCCAAAGGTATAAATGTTTATTTAGTGGGAAAATCCTCTTTAATTCTTTTAAGTGAAAGATGCGCATGGTTTGGGTTTGGTCTGCCTGTGAGGTCTTCTCTTTCCCCAGGCCATGCTTTCTCTCTCTCTTCCCATGAAAGGACCGCAGGGGGAGTGGGGAGGAAGCAGGGGTGCATGTGGGAAGGTAGTTGACAGGTTATTCTGTGTATTCTCATTTGTTTTGAGATCGTAGGCCTGAGTGGTTACCAGATTTAGACTGAAAAAGACTTCTGTCCAATAAGATCTATAGGGTGTAGACATTTGGAGCTGTTTCAAAAGGCACTCCTGCTTCAAGCTGCAGCAGCTGTTACATTCCAAGATTTGATGCCAAATTCACAATTTTTACAACCTGTATTTGCATAGGAAAGCCTTCTAGAAGACCTAAATCAGCACTTGGGAGTGATTTGAATAATGGTGACAAGACAATGCTGACCTTGGAAGATTCCTCTAGGACTTTTACAATAGTAAGTCCTGTGCCAGAATGCTATCTATCCTGATTGGATTTGGAAGAGTAGAATAATAGTTATCTACACTGCACAAATGAGGAGACTGAAAAGTGAATTGTGAAGTTATTGGTTGAACCTTCTAGTGCACTTATGTTAAGTGGTACAATACTAAACTCCCTTCCCTGGGAAGGTAAAGCAATACAGCGAGTTAATTTTACTACACCACCCATTTCTTGTAATTCTGTTTTTGGTTGTGGGGAAGGAAGGAAGTTAAACATTTTGTAGAATTACAGAGTCCATCTTTACACTTGATCCTCTGTATGGATCACTGCTAGGATTTAAGAAATTTCATTAGGGGTTTCATACTTTGGAACTGATGATTGAAATTAGGCATCAAATTTAAACTTCTCTGTGCTGAGCTCCACTTAACCAGTCTGGGTGAAAGCATATTGCCAACACTCAGTGAAGTTTGTATGTCATGATCCCCTAAGCCATATCATATCTCTTCTTCAGGAACCTTGTGAGCCCTAGTCTTAAGTTGACTCTTCTGGTCCTTCCTTGTTATCCTGAGCTGCCTACCCAAGGGTCAGCTGCTTAGAAAAAGACATTGGCTGTGATGGAAAAACTAGATTTATTTTTACCTGTACATTGAAAAAAGTGCCCAGAAATGTTTTATTTGGCAACTAGAGTAGTACTGTCATTTCAGGATGTGTCCCCTAATGGAACTTGTGAGTCAAAGTCAACAAGCAGTAAAGAAATACAGGGAGAAATTAACTATCCTGATGGAAAGGTAAGATCAGATCTCCTATTTTAAGGAGTTTGTGAGGGTAGGCTTAACAGTTGGCACAAAAAGGACCTCATTTGTTGGAGTGCTGTTGAGCTGTATTGCCTTTGTTCAGTTTATAAATGGGGGTATTATGTGAGATGAATACAGTCCCTTTCATTTGCGAGGCATTTAGAGTTGAAGATGCATATTAATTAAAATCTGAATATGTACATCACTTTCATAAACAAAATGAACTGTTCCCTGAACAGTTCCAAATACGTAAGGGACACTTCTTTTGGGAGTTCAGTTGAAAATCACCCAAACCAACACAAAAGGAAACTGAACGTATGCTCTCCATGTGACTAAACATACTTTACTTTCAGTCTGGTGCTTGAAATAAAACATTGCTTTGGGTCAGATGCATCTGTTGTTAAAGTGGGTGCAATTAAGGGAACTAAAATTTCCTCGCTTATGGAGGGAACAAGTTTGACAAGATTTTGAGAAATACTGTCTGTGATCCTGGCTGAATATTAGTAAAAAGCCATCCTTATATATTGCTTTCTAGTCCTCAAGAATGGTCCCTCCACCAGTATTTTACTATGGTTGCTGAACTAAAATTATAGGAGAGAGTTGCATGGAAACTGAGGGTTGGATGAGAACCAGCTAAACTAAACAAACATTGATTCTCAAAGGTTAAGAACTTAAATTAGGTACAGAAGTAAGGCATATATTCTCTTACTGTTTTGCTTAGAACTTTATAGGGCTGCTGAGATGCCCAAATTAACTTAATCAGAAACTGCTGTTGAAAACTTGGTTAATACATCAGTCAGGTATGAACATTTGATTGAATATCTGCTTTTATGTAACCTATCTTTTAGGTTGAAAAGATTTTAAAAAATGGCTGCCACCTTATATTTTTCCCTAATGGCACACGGAAGGAAGTTAGTTCTGATGGAAAGACCATAACTGTAACTTTCTTTAATGGAGATGTGAAACAAGTTATGCCAGATCAAACTGTGGTATGTATCCAGTAATATATTTTACCTTTCAGTTATATGGTTAGACATTCTTATAAAGAATCTTAACCTTTTCCCCACAGATTTATTATTATGCAGATGCCAAGACAACTCACACTACCTATCCTGATGGCCTAGAGGTCTTACATTTCTCAAATGGACAAATAGGTAAAGCCTGGGAAGTATTTGTTTTATACTTTATCAACTCTTCTATTTTTTTAAAAAACAAGATGTTCCTGTTACATTTCAGAAAAGCACTACCCTGATGGAAGGAAGGAAATTACATTCCCAGATCAAACTATTAAGAACTTACTTACAGATGGGCAAGAGGAAAGCATTTTTCCAAATGGTACTATTGTTCGTGTTCTGAGGTAAGCTTTTTTTTTTTTCCCTATTAAAAAAAAATGAAAACATGCTCCCAGCCCTTGTTGGTTGCCAAAATTATCTCAAGAGCTAAGTAAGGCTTTGAAAATATAAGGAGTCTCTCACTAGTATGTGTTATCTTGCAAATGGATCTATAAAGTGCAATAGTGAGAGACTCCTTAGATTTTTAAAACCTTGTTAAACTCTTTAAAAATTTTTGGGACGCAATACTTTAGAATTATTTAAATGATTTGATATAAAAAGGAAACATGGTGTTTGACAGTAAGTTGTATTTAGACACATTTACTGTAAAAATAAAATACTGCTTGAACTCTATTAATGAATACTTTGATTCCTTGTCTGAATACAGTGTACTAATTAATTTAGGCTTCAATCAGGAAAGTGCTTTTAGCTCATGCTTAAATGATTTTGTGTGTCTCAAATAGAGTAGCATGTCATGTTTTATACTGTAATTTAACTAAACCAGGGGTAGGCAACGTTTTTTGGCCGGAATGCTGAAAAACACCACAATGCCTACCTTGGAAGGTGCTGGAGTGCTGGCATGACAAAAAAACAAAATGAGGGCAAGGGGTACATGGCAGGATGCCCTGCTTGTGCCCCTTGCCCGCCACCCAAAGCACCTGCTCCCCAGCCCTGCTGCCCCTTGCCCCTGCCTCCCAGCCCGGGCTCTGGGTAGCTGCTAGAGCCTGGGCTGCTCCGAGCAGGGCTTGCAGCTGCCTGCTGGGAGCAGCCTGGGATCCCGGCTGGCAGCAGCTCCCCAGAGCCAGGGCAGCTGCAGCCGGCAGGCTCCAAACAGCTGTGCCGGGCTCCAGCACCAGCTCCACACCGGCGTGAGCAGGTGTGCCTCGGAGCGGGCAGTGGGGGTGGGGTCTGAGGCAGCACAGCCCCGGTCTCTCCGGCACGGAGGCCATGAGCCCAGCGCAGCTGTTTGTAGCCAGCCCACTGTTGCAGCCAGAACCCTGGCTGGCTACAAACAGCTGTGCCAGGCTCATGGCCTCTGTGCTGGGAGCAGGGGAGACTGGGGCTGCGCTGCCTCAGACCCCACCCCCACTGCCTGCTCCCAGGCGTGCCTGCTTGCACTGGTGTGGAGCTGGTGCTGGAGCCTGGCACACCTGCTGGCTGCAGCTGCCCCGGCTCTGGGGAGCTGCTGCCAGCCGGGATCCCAGGCCGCTCCCAGCAGGCAGCTGGGCCGCTGCAAGCCCTGCTCGGAGCAGCCCAGGCTCTGTCGCTGGCAGCAGCTTCCCAGAGCCGGGGCTGGCCCAGGTGTGCCAAGCAAAATGGCCTCACGTGCGACGCTCAGCACGTGTGCCAGGGGTTGCCAACCCCTGAACTAAACTAAGACTCAGCTCTCAAAACCTTCATGTTTCTGGGGACTGCTATTTCCTTGTATGCCAAGGATCTTTATCTGTTGGCCTGCTTTAGTCAGATGGCACACTTCACCTTTTAAAAAATTTAGTATATTTTTAGCATTGCTTAAAACTGCAAATGTAGTGATTAGCTAATGTGATATTTGTCTTAATAAAACATTTGCCTTCAACAAATACTGCATTTTTAACATTCTGAAGTAAAGTTATGTATTTCCTGCAATCATCATCCTTCTTAAATTTCTGGATCTTTTGGGCCCGCCTAATGTCACATTCCTACCTGAACTCATCTTGCTAGTTCTACACTTGTCTGTCAGGTTACGGTGACCGTCATATATTGTATACCTGTGTGAACTTTTTAATACAGAGATGGAAGCAAAACTATAGAATTTAATAATGGTCAGAGAGAACTGCACACGCTGGAATTCAAGAGACGGGAATATCCAGATGGCACTGTCAAAACTGTGTATGTTGATGGCCGCCAGGAAACAAAATATGTCTGTGGGAGAATCAGAGTTAAGGACAAGGATGGCAATATAATAATGGACACAAAGTTATGACAAATATGAATCTAAGGAATTTTATTTATTTATGCAAACGTAGCTGTAAGAACATAGAAGTGTGTGTTTCTGGAGAGAGACACCCCCCCCCCCCCCCCCCCAGCCTTTCCAACTCCATTTCCTTTATGTAAATATTGTTCATAGTTTGTTTATCTGAAATAAATTTATTTTAAAGTGATGAAATGGCATGATTGTCTTGATTTAACAAAGGGATTGCTTTGACAATTTCAGTCCACTTTTTAGATATTAAGTAGCCATTCCTAAACCCTCTTTCATGTAGTATCTACATATTACATGTAGTTGAGAATTTACATTTTGTGGCTAGAGCTAAGGGCAAAAATGATTCCAAGCTTACATCAAAATATTAAGGAAACCTTGAGAATCTGTTGCCATTGTCTAAAACTACAGCTGATATTTTTGCTACAAGGATTCCTGATTAACAAGAATAAGCAAACTGCATACAATGCTGTAAGACCAAGTTGAGCAGTCTACAAGGGGCTGTGGTGCTATTTCTCTTCAGTTGTGGAAACAAATTGTGCAAATCCTTTCAAGGCAGAACTGAGAAAATGCATTGTTGTAGAAGAACTATTTTCTTTTGCCTTTCTGTTCATTCTGAGCAGCTAGGAGGTAGCAGAATTAGTGGGCTTGGAAGAGAAACATGAGGCAGAAGTGGAAGCTAAACATACTTGAGCTCTGTGCATGGGCAATTTACATGCCTCCTACCTCAGTACCTTCCTCTGAACAGCAGGTGTATTCAGTGCGGTAGTAGAGAATGAATGCTTAAATGAAACCAGGGTGGAAGGGACCTCAGGGTCACCTGGCCCAATCCTTTGCACAATCCCCTATCCTATTAGTATTTGATCTAAATCTGCTTTGCTAAACACACTGCAATTGTTTTCCCTCCTCTTTATGAACATTTCAAATGTTTTGAAGACTGCTTAATCTCCTTTTCACCAAACTAAACTTACCTAGCTGTCAGCCTTTCTTCAGACAGTTTACTAACTCCTTTATATTGCAGAGCCCAGAAGTGCAGCTCTCTAGCTGAGTTCTAACCCACGCTGAGTAGAACTGTGCTGTAAGACTCCAGGGCTGTCAGTGTGGACTCTGCCACTACTGTTATTTGATTCTACTAGTGTTTTTCAGAGACTAGATGTTACTGGTCATACCATGTTCCCTCAGTTTGGATGGTCTGTGCATGCACAGTCAGGATACTGTGTGTGGCATTGTGCCCCTAATGACTTCATTGTTACAAGAAACCAGGCTGCAGGTTTTGGTCTCAAGAAGCCTGGCCAAGTTTATCGCAGGAAGAGGTAGTTAACAGTCTGTTAACTGTTAGTCTGAAGTCAGGCCGAAGGCAGAGTAGAGATGCACCTTACAAACTCAGTAAGATAAATTGAGCACAAGCTTTTGTGAACATGAGTTCACTTAAACAACCCTAGTGACTAATGTCCATGGTACTAGCTGTGTCATTTGTAGGGGTTATGTTCATGCCTAAACAATGCCCAAGTCCAGTACAAAGTATTCCAAGGTCCCTTTTTATACACCAGTTAAAACAACTTAGGATGTGGATGCAGTAACCCAGAGGTATTTGGGTAATTGATGAGGTGTGTAAACATTTATTTCTCACCAATTAGTGCAACCTTCCCATCAGATACAGATGCCTATTTGCCAGGTCACAATGATCGTTGCTTTGGGGGTCCTGTACTAGATAATTCATTTAATCTGTTGGCCATAGAGGCACCTCTAAAACTAGCAAGCTATGTTTCCAGCACTTCTGTTCAACCCATATACAGTATGCCTAGCTTTGTTTCAGTGAGGCCTACTTTGGTTCAAGCTGGTAGTAGAATCTGTGAATTGTACATGCATTGATCAATGGTTGTGTTAATCCATACTCCAGCAAAGCCTACAGGTGTTATATCACCTTACTGCTGTCCTAACAAGTCTAGTGATAAGGCCTCCCACGATTCCTTTTTATGTGCAGCTGTTCCACATTGCTGACTTACGTTGAGTCTGATATCCACCATAACCCCAGGTACTACTTAGCAATGCTGCTACCCAGTCAGCTCTCTAGCCCTCATATGTGTTTGTGCATTTGGTTTTTCTTCCTTAGATGTTGCTCCTTACATTTGTCATTGCTGAATTTCATTCTGTTGCCTCTGGCCCAGTTCTCTAGCAAGATCCTTTTAAATTCTGTTTTCCCACCTGTTTACAACTCCTCTCAGTTGTCCTATGGACTACATCAGAAGCCTTACTAGAGTCCTAAGTATATTATGTCCACTGCATTCCTCAAATGAGTTACCTTTGTCAAGGAGGGAAATCCAGTTTGTTTGGTATAATTTGTTGTTAATAAAAAATGGGTAGTGATCAGCCTTTCCCTTTCCAGGTATTTACAAACTGACTTTTAAAATTTGCTCTGGTAATTTCCCAAGGTATGGAAGTCAGGCTGACTGGTCTGTTTCTCAGGTTCTCTTTTGTCCTTTTAAAGATAGATACTATGGGATAGCAAAGGCTTAACTTAAATATTGACACCCAGCAGGGGAGAAGGAAGCAAGCACTTACCTCCTTGTCCAAGGACTGTGACAGCAATATAGGCTGCTTCCTTGGTGCAAGCTCCCTCAAAATGGGCTGTGGTGGAAGTGTACACTGAGGCCATAGACAGACATTACATTTGTAGCTCTACCAAAATGGCACAAAAATGTTCCTGGATGAAACAGGTACTTCTCTGGAATGCTGCCTCTTGTGGCACCACAGGTACTCTGTGTACAAGGCACTGTAGTACTATAGGGGCTCTCTCAATCCCCCAGCATCCCACAGTACTTTGCTCTCCCCCAACAGGGGCTGCCTGGGTGCTTAGTGATCTTCAGGGCTGGGGCACAAGGAACAGAACTGCAGTGTTTTGCTCCCCACCTGCCCCCATCTCTGTCCAATTCTGAATCACTAAATTATTTCAAAACACTTTACAGGTACTCATCTTCTTGACCCCCTAATCTTTGTTCTTACTTGACACAGAGATAGAAGACAATTTTTTAAAAGACCGTTTTTTTTGTATCTACCATGTCCACCCTGTTCTTTTGTGAAATATGCATACAGAGGGACTAGTGTCTGCTTAGGAATGGATCACACCTCATACTACTTCAAAGCAAGCAGCAGCACAGTCGATCCATACAGACAATCTTTAATCTTCATGCTGGACTCAAAGCTTATATGTATTGAATGTCAGTTACCAACCACTCGCATCTACTCCCCCTTGAGATTTATCATAATTTGTATAATTTAGCAACTCATCTCATTTGCCCAGACCACAGCCTTGAAAGCACCTCTAAGTAATCCCTAACCTTTTCTTCCACTACTTTAGGCTGTTTGCCTTCTTTTCTTATCATTTGTAAAGACTGAAGTAAAAAAGGCATTAAATAAATAATGCAGCCTTCTGCCTCATCTGTAACTATGCTACCTTTTGATTGTAGGGGCCTACAGTTTCTTTGATTTCTGTCACTTGCAACGTTTATATAGAATCCCTTTTTATTGTCTTTTATATCCCCTGCCAGCTGTGGCCTCTTGATTTTCTCCCTGCCTGCTCATGTGGC